AAAGCGAAGGTCCTAAAGTCAGGTCCGAAGGCGAAGGCAGACTGAAGAGCAGAAAGCAAAGGTCCTGAAGAAAGTCCGAAGGAAGGCAGACTGAAGAGAGGCAGGTCCTAAAGTGAAGGTAGACTGAAAGCAGGTCCTAAAGTGAAGGTAGACTGAAGCAGGTCCTAAAGTGAAGGTAGACTGAAGCAGGTCCTAAAGTGAAGGTACAGACTGAAGAGACAGGTCCCCAAAGCTGAAGGTACAGACCAGGTCCTAAAGCGAAGGTACAGACTGAAGAACAGGTCCCAAAGCGAAGGTACAGACTGAAGAACAGGTCCTAAAGCAAAAGCGAAGGCAGACAGACTGAAGAACAGGTCCTAAAGCAAAGGTACAGACTGAAGAACAGGCCCTGAAGAAAAGCGAAGGTACAGACTGAAGAAAGGTCCTAAAGCAAAGGTACCGACTGAAGAACGGGCCCTAAAGCGGTACCTAAAGGTAAAGTGAAGGTAGACTGAAGAGCAGGTCCTAAATTGAAGGTAGACTGAAGAACAGGTCCTAAAGCAAAGGTACAGACTGAAGAAAGTCCAAAAGCGAAGGTACAGACTGAAGAACAGGTCCTAAAGCGAAGGTACAGACTGAAGAACAGGTCCAAAAGCGAAGTACACAGGTCCAAAAGCGAAGGTACAGTCCTAAAGCAAAGGTACAGACTGAAGAACACAAAAGCGAAGGTACAGACTGAAGAACGGGTCCTAAAGCAAAGGTACAGACTGAAGAACAGGTCCAAAAGCGAAGGTACAGAACTGAAGTACAGACTGAAGAACGGGTCCCTAAAGCAAAGGTACAGACTGAAGAACAGGTCCTAAAGCGAAGGTACAGACTGAAGAACAGGTCCTAAAGCGAAGGTACAGACGAAGGTCCTAAACAGACTGAAGAACGGGCCCTAAAGAAGAACGGAATTTAGCCAAGAGAGGTTCATGCAGATATAAGTCGTGCAGAGGATTCTGGGAACTGCCAATGTTCAGAGTGCAATGATGTCATAAAACTAGAGGCTGCATCTATTTATAGCCTTTTAATAAGCATATAAAAAGCGAGTTTAATTTCCAAATCTCTTGTCATCAGACCCAGGGCGAGACACGCTCACATATAAATATCCTGGCCGGCTCTTCAGGAAATTACAGTGCCGGCAGTCACAGCCAGACGAGGTCCCGGGAGCGCTGTGTGCGGGGTCACATTTAAAGGTGAAGAGCAGCCCATTGTCTGCCAGCTTCGGCTCTTCGCTTGGTACACGAAGGAACGCTCTACTATCCTTGGCTGGGAGAGATGGACCTCCATTGTTCCAAACACTTGAAGTCTCTCGGGATGACTAGAATAGTAACACTGAGAAAGTTTCTGAAGTCTGTTTGGCGTGAAGAGGATTGAAGTGGGAGCCTCGTTCTCTAATAAGGGCAGATTATGAAGAGCGATGAGGCGTTTACAAGTCCCGTCAATCAGAAAGCAAGGGAAAATCCCGCCATTGTGTCACTAATTATCCCGGGGAACGGCGTTCAGAAGGTCGGGGGAGGACGTGTTGTGGCGGTTCACGTGTATGTGTGTGGGATACATTCAGCTAAATTCCAGCAGATGCAATTTTCCGAGCCTACGCAGCTTGGCAGACGAATAGTGGAATTTCAGGTACTCGAGGACTTGGCCTCCTACACTGAGCACATGCTGAACGCAGCAATGGTGGAGAGCCTAGCAAAGCCTCTTCTGCCCTTCGCTGACCCCGCCTACGGCTCAGACCGGCACATGGTGTGGATGGTAGTGCTGTGTAAAGTAAACGTGTTGTCTACACGCAATCACAATACGGCCGTGTTCACGTATCTCGTAACGGGAACAAGCATTTCCTCTGGTGATTTATGTTGCACAATTATCACACGATTTGGCGTGCCGCGCATAGCACAGCCCATTCACTTCAAAGGGGCTGCCCCCTAGGTGCGCTTGTCACCCAACGAAGCTCCTGCAGCTTTGGGCAACAATCCTAAACTCGCATTTCGCCTCAAGAGCCAAGCGACACTCGCAGCAGAGTCACATCGCGTTTGAGGTACCATTAATCCCTTGGAGCCGGCGCCTCCCGGCCCTTTAAGAGTTTCAGAAGCAGGGAAGTGGGGCGGGGTTTTGAGGTCATGTGACTGACGTGATTTGCCTTCATGGTGGTCACATGATCAGGAAAGGTCCCGAACGAAAAAGGAGATTCCGTGAGTACCGGACATGTGTGCTGGGAGCGCGCAGGGCGTGCGCTCTCAGCAAATATGTTTTTCTTAATTGCACGCAAATGTGTGGCCGCTCGGTGTCAAGGTCCAGACGCCGGACATTTGTGTGCGGCCGGCGCAAAGAGGTTAACCACTTCCAGACCGGACACTTTCCCCCCCTTCCAGTCCAGACACTTTCCCCCCCTTCCAGACCGGACACTTTCCCCCCCTTCCAGACCGGACACTTTCACCCACTTCCAGTCCGGACACTTTCACCCCCTTCCAGTCCGGACACTTTCACCCACTTCCAGTCCGGACACTTTCCCCCCCTTCCAGACCGGACACTTTCCCCCCCTTCCAGTCCGGACACTTTCACCCACTTCCAGTCCGGACACTTTCACCCCCTTCCAGTCCGGACACTTTCCCCCCCTTCCAGTCCGGACACTTTCCCCCCCTTCCAGTCCGGACACTTTCCCCCCCTTCCAGACCGGACACTTTCCCCCCCTTCCAGTCCGGACACTTTCATCCACTTCCAGTCCGGACACTTTCACCCACTTCCAGTCCGGACACTTTCCCCCCTTCCAGACCGGACACTTTCACCCACTTCCAGTCCGGACACTTTCACCCACTTCCAGTCCGGACACTTTCACCCACTTCCAGTCCGGACACTTTCACCCACTTCCAGTCCGGACACTTTCACCCACTTCCAGTCCGGACACTTTCACTCACTTCCAGTCCGGACACTTTCCCCCCCTTCCAGTCCAGTCCGGACACTTTCACCCACTTCCAGTCCGGACACTTCCCCCCCCCCCCCCCCCCCCCCCTTCCTGACCAGGGCAATTTTCAGCTTTTAGCGCTATCACACTTTGAATGACAATTGCGCGGTCATGCAACACTGTACCCAAATGAATTTTTTACCATTTTTTTTTAGATAGATAAAGCTTTATTTTGGTGGTATTTATTCACCACTGGGATATGTATTTTTTTTGCTATGTAAATGAAATGTCCAAAAATTTTGAAAAAAAGTGTTTTTTTTATAAAATTTTGCAAATAAATATTTCATCATAAATCTTAGCCAAAATTTATTCCGTTATCTTTTTAGTAAAAAAAAAAATCCAAATTAGTTTATAAGCAAAAATTATAATTTTTAAACTTTTTTTTTACATTTTTATTTTTTTTTTTTATATTATTTTTTATTTTATTTTTTTACATACTGTCACCCTAGCAGTACAGTGTCACCATGGTGACAGTGTACTACTTATGGGGGGTGATGAAGATTTTTTTTTTTTTTTTTTTTACACTGATTGCTTTTACACCCATATAGGATGTAAAAGCAATCATTTCTCTTTCTCTCTGGCTGCATTCTTGCACTCATTGAGAAGTACTGAGTGAGCTGTGATTGGTCACAGCTTGTCACATGGTACAAGGCTTTTGTGAATAGCCCTGTACCATGTGATCTCTGTGATCATTCACAGATTTCACACGTAGTAAGCAATGATATCAGAAGTGACATCTTGCTTACTACTTTGCATGTGATCACTGATTGGCCAATCAGTGCTCACATGATCGGAACCTCGTACAGAGGAGGACACAGCGGGCACCGGATCGCGGTGCTGCGCGCTCCCAGGGAGCGCGCACAAGCAGGGTGCGGGGAGGTTGTTTATAGACGGCCACCGGACCCTGCAGTGCCACCGTCCGGCCGTTTATATACAGCAGCCGGACGGGAGGTGGTTAAAGGATAATGGCACCCAAATACGTGGCACGCGCCTGACACGCGATTCTGAATCGAGGGCAGAATTGTAGCGATTCTGCCTACGACTCCAAATCACGAAGTGTGAATGGGGCCCAAGGCCTTGTGCACACAGGACTTTTTATTTTACCACCCCTGGATGCCTTTGCTCTAGGGGAGGAAAAACCAACTTAAAAAAAATGAAAAAACACCTAAAACCCCATTTTGCAAACGCGTTTAGGCGCCATCAAGCGTTAAGGCGTTCATTCCTCTCATTGGCTGGGATTAATACTTTATTCTGGCTATTGGAACGAATGCTCAAGTGCTAAACGTTTGGCCGCGGTTCACACTGTTACGCCGCATGTGATTCGCACATGAATCACACTGCATTGCTGAGAAAATCACAAGCGATTCTGTGCGGTGCGAATTGAGCCCATCATTTTGTATGGCTCAAATCGAACCGCATCCGTGCGAAAAAGGTGCAGGCGCCTTTTTGTTGGCCGCACTGGAATCGGCCCGCATGGGTATTCATGGGTAAACGCAGCGCTTTCTGCGACCTGTTTTTGGGGTGTCTAACTTGACAACCTTAGCAGACCACATGAATGCGGTGCGATTGCTATGTGGGAAACCCCGCGTGACATCGGTGTGAACCAAGCCTTAGGTGTGTTCAGCGATTTGTATGCCCAGACGCTCCTCCTGAAGGCACTGTTGACCTTTAAATGATCCTCTTCTAACACATGTAAATGCCTGAGTGGCCACCTAGGCTAACAGAGGTGTGTTTAGGACTCGTTCATACTACCGCCATGCAGCAAGGAGAGTCACCACAAGTGAGTGTGCACACGGGGCGTTTGTAAAGCTGCTGTTTTTCACGTCAGGCGTATTTTTTCTGCAACCATTAAACCCCCCTGCATGCTATCCTGTGTGTCCATGCACACAGGCTTTTATCATTTTTGGCAGGGGTGCTTTCTCCAAGCTGCAATGTCATGTGACCATGACATAAAGCAGAACTTTGCCCATAAAAATGTGATAAAAAAAAAAAATTTTATACACACACACACACACACAGGGCTTGAAATTTCCACTCGCCTGCTCGCCAATGGCAAGTGGAAATTATGGTGGGGGCGAGTGTGTCCCCCAGGGCCATCTTGCAGAGCAGACACGGAGCTCAGGCCGGATCTATCAGTGGCACTGGGAGCCGTCAGACTGCTCAATAGCTGAGCGCAGTGAAAGCAAAGGAAGGAGAGTGTGCTGTGCTCTCTGCCTCCCCCTAGAGTGCAGTACCCGGCTCTGTGCGTGAACAACAAAGTACTGCAACTTTTTATAGGAGGGGGTGTGTGTGGTGTACACGTGTGTGTTTGTGTGTGTCTGCGTATGCATGTACATGTGTCTGTGTGTATGTACATGTATGGTGTGTGTACATGTGTCTGTGTACGTACCTGTGTGTGTGTGTACATGTGTCTGTGAGTGTGTATTTCTGTGTATGTACATATATCTGTGTGTATGTGTATCTGTATGTGCCTATGTGTGTATACATGTGTCTGTATGTACATGTGTCTCTGTGCGTGTGTGTATGTACATGTCTGTGTATGTGTACAGGTGTCTGTTTGTGTGGGTTTGTTGGTGGCGAGTAACTCTTAAGGCCTGGCTAGTAGCTCAGGACGTGACATTTTGAGCCATCTATATATATATATATATGCTACTTAGCAAGGAACATGCACGCCTCATTAATTCTGCTACCAAAATCAGTGTGTGCTGTAAATTGCCTCCAGCATTGTTCCGGTTTCTTCTTTGCCGAAGCCCAGAGCCCCTGAGCAGCATTAAATCTTTAGGCTGTCAGCAGATCGGCCTCTACAAATTTGGCACAGTGCTTAAACAGAGAGCAACTGAGCATGTGCAGAGCAGGGTGAGGCAATGCATTACTGGATTTTAAAAAGTGTAGGCTCTTATTGTTAATGTTTTACATAGCTATACCTGGAAAAGGGGCCGGCCTGAAGTCAGCAAGCAGGACTTCATTTTCTGACTAAAGTTCCAATTTAAATTAGGTGGAAAAAAAAGCATTTAGATAGTCTCCGCGTGAGAGGTGAGTGGAGGGGGCGAAGACAAGACTCAGTGTGAGAGGTCTTGTCTTCGCCCCCTCCACCACAGCACTACAGGAGGGGGCGAAGACAAGACCTCTCACACTGCACAATGAGAGAGAACAGAGGTGTGAGAGGGGCCCAGCAGGCTCCACCCACTACAGGCTACAAGACCAGTCACCCTGGGATAGATAGGCTCCACCCACTACATGCAGAGGGCGGGTACAAGACCAATCACCCTGCACAAGGATAGAGAGTAGAGGTGTGAGAGGGGCCCAGCAGGCTCCACCCACTACAGAAGACTACAGGAGGGGGTGGCAAAATGAGTCACCCTAGGCAACATAGGCTCTACCCACTGCAGATGGGGGGTGGACACCAGGCCAGTCACCCTGCACAAAAAGAGAGCAGAGGTGTGAGAGGGGCCCAGATAGCTCCACCCACTACAGGCTACAGGAGGGGGATACTAGACTAGTCACCCTAAGCTAGATAGTCTCCACCCACTACACGGGGCAGAGACCAGGCCAATCACCCTGCACAAGGAGAGAGAGCAGAGGTGTGAGAGGGGCCCAGATAGCTCCACCCACTACAGGAGGGAGAAACTAGACTGGTCACACTAGGCTAGATAGGCTCCACCCACTACAGACTGGGAGCGGAGACCAGGCCAGTCACCCAGAGAGAGCAGAGGTGTGAGAGGGGCTCAACAGGCTCCACCCACTACAGGCTACAGGAGGGGGCAACAAGATGGGTTCCACCCACTACAGGCTACAGGAAGGGTGACAAGATTAGCCATCCTAGACAAGATAGGTTCCACCCACTGCAGGAGGGGGTGGAGACAAGACCAGTCGTCCTGCACAAGGAGAGAGAGCAGCAGTGAGCGGTCTTTATTCCAGGAAGCCTCACCCTGGATTACTGCACAGATCTGGAAGAAACACCCCGAGATCACCAAGATTTGGAAGACGTCACGTGAGGAACGTTTCTTTAAAAACAAGGAGGGAGCCCCTTCTAGATCTCAGGAACCAGGAGTTCCTCTGCCCTCTTGGCTGGAACCTGAGGAATCCTCATGTAGAGCCTTCAGCAGCTTTTATTATTAGTATTCTAATAAAAGGTCTGTTATTACCATTCAAACCATTTTTTTTGAGTAACCATGACAACCCGGTTCCCACACACTTCCCATTCTGCGGCACCAAAGAGGGATGTCATTTCCCCGCAGGGATGTAGGAGTTGTAGGTGGTGAACAAAAAACCACAATCTATCCAGCCAGAAGCCGGAACCGCGCGCGCTGACCACCACCCCCGCCACCAGCGGGGTACAAGGCAGGCTGGACGCAGATACACTTCCTGCACGTTTCACCTCTCATCACTTTCATCTTCCCCCAACTTTTCAAACTTTTTTTTTTTTTTTTTTTTAATTACCAGTAAATCTGATATTGAAGAATTATGTGAAGGAAATACCTCATACTAGGCCTGTCAGAGTTCTAAACTATGTGAAGAAATGATGCGGTACCATGCGTGGTGCTCCTGATACGTGGCCCCATTATATGAACAGACCTAGAATATATATAAATAATATATATATACACACGTTAGAGACTAAACTAAACAAATTCTATCCCAGTCTGTATTATAACTTAGAAAAGTCCCTTCTATTGTCTCTCAGCCTCCTCCATATTAACACCGTTCCACCCATGGAAATGCTAAAGGGACTAAATACTATCCCAGTGGCCAGTATTCATCAGGTGGAAACTGATCACTGTCTGCTGGAAGACACCTGCTGGTGGACACTCCTCCATTTAACACCCTCCACCAGGGAAATGCAGAGGACTAAATTACCAGCATCCACCAGCAGGTGCATCCCAGAAGTGGACCTTATTGATCAGTTTTCACCTGATGCTTGCTGGGGGGGTATTTAGTCCTTCCTCTGCTTTCCGAGTGGAGGGTTGGAATTCCACATCCACCAGTGGGAGTCTCCCAGCATCCTGGTCACCAGTGGAAATGCAGAGGGGACTAAATTCCAGTGTCCACTAGCAGGTGTTTCCCAGTGAAGCAGCAAACTTTATTGATCAGTTTTCACCTGATGCTTGCTGCTGCAGCAGGGGGGTATTTAGTCCTTCCTCTGCGGTCGCAGCCCTGAGTGGCAGGGGTTGTAATTCCAGCGGTCAGCAGGCCAGTGAAGCAGGCCGGTCCAGTGCCAGCAGTCTGGTCGCAGCATCCAGTGAAGCACGGTCGCAGGTCAGTGAAGCAGGCCGGTCGCAGCAGGCCAGGTGAAGCAGGCCGGTCGCAGCAGGCCAGTGAAGCATTCCGGTCGCAGCAGGCTGGTCGCAGCAGGCAGGTCGCAGCAGGCTGGTCGCAGCAGGCAGGTCAGCAGCAGGCAGTGGTCAGTGCACTGGTGCAGCAGGCCAGCTGGTCACAGCAGGTCAGTGCAGCACGCTGGTCACAGCAGGTCAGTGCAGCACGCTGGTCACAGCAGGTCAGTGCAGCACGCTGGTCACAGCAGGTCAGTGCAGCACGTTGGTCACAGCAGGTAAGTGCAGCACGCTGGTCACACAGCAGGTAAGTGCAGCATGCTGGTCACAGCAGGTAAGTGCAGCATGCTGGTCACAGCAGGTCAGTGCAGCAGCAGTTATCAGTTTCCACCTGATGCTGGCTTCCGGGAGGGTATTCAGTCCCTTCCTCTACATTTCTCTGGGTGGAGGATTGTAATTCTAGTGTCCATCAGCAGGTATCATCTGCCAGCCAGCAGAGCCCAGTTACCAGTTTCCACCTGATGCTGGCTGCTGGGAGGGTATATAGGTCCTCTCCTTTAGTGCCTCTTGCTCCAGCATTTTGCTGCTGCCAGATCCTGTTGTCATTTATCTTGATCCTGCCTTGTATCCTATACCCTGCTGCCTTGTTGCTGCTCTTCCTTTTTCCTAGCTTTGTTCCCCTTTCCCATCTGCATCTTCAGTTTTCCCCATTTTGTATATAATTTGTTCATTAGGCCTTCGGTTTATTAGTCAGGTGTTCTCTCACTGGGTTTTTGTTTCACTTTTATGTTTAATGTGTTCTGGAGTTTGGAAGGATTTTGTTTCACTGTAAATAAATCTCACTAAGGCTCGGATCACACTACGGGGACTTCGGATCCGACTTATAGACCCCCAAGTCACATGATATATGAAATCCCATGTTACTCAATGAGAGCTGTCAATCAGCGCTACTAGTGAAGTCGCTCTGACTTTAGAAAGGTTTCCTGTGCTACTTGTGCCCATAGACTTTAGTAGAAGTCGTCTCCAAGTCGGAAGCTCATCTATATTGATGTGATTTGGATCCGTCATTACAGGAAAATTACCCAGCATTCCCTGAACGTTGCTTCAAAGTCACATCAAAGTAGTACTCAAGTCACCAGGAATTCGCCTTGCAAATCACACTGCAGGTCGCATTAGTGTGAACCGAGACGTAAAGCATGCGCAGTCTGGGCCTGTGTAGCCACGCAGATCTGGCCATCCCTGCTGCTGATTCCCGACATTATCGGCTGCTTTTACTTTTCTTTGTCGGTCTCGTTGGGCGGGAGGCTGATAGTGGGAGGGACTTATGACCCAAATTGAAGTCTCTCTGATAAGGGCTTAGTTTCAACAAACATGTCCAGCAGCACACGTTGGGCAGATTAAAAAAATGCAAAATGCGTAAAAACGCATCAAAATGCATGAAAAACATTCTTTTCTGCAGCATCTCTATTGAAGTCTACTGAACCAAAAATGCACTTTTTTGTTTTTTTAAGACGCAAAAAAAAGTCCCTTTTCAAAAAAAACGCAATGAAACAATCTGTGGTGGCATTTGTATTCGGCCCCCCGGAGTCAATACTTTGTAGACCCCCTTTGGCTGCCATTCCAGCTGCGAGTCTTTTTGGGGATGTCTCTTTGCACATCTAGAGAAGGGACATTTCTGCCCATTCTAATTTGCAGAATGGCTCAAGCTGTCAGATTGGATGGAGGGCGTCTGGGAACAGCAATTTTCAGGTCTGGCCACAGATTCTCCATTGGATTTGGGTCTGGACTGTGACTGGGCCATTCTAACACATGAAGATGCTTTTGTCTAAGCCATTCCATTGTAACTCTGGCTGGATGTTTCGGGTCGTTGTCCTGCTGGAAGGGGAACCTCCGCCCCGGTCTCAAGTCTTTTGCAGACTCTAAGAGGTTTTCTTCTAAGATTGCCCTGTATTTGGCTCCATCCATCTTCCCATCAACTCTGACCAGCTTCCCTGTCCCTGCTGAAGAAAAGCATCCCCACCACATGATACTGCCACCACCACGTTTCACAGTGGGGATGCTGTGTTCAGGGTGATGTGCAGTCTTACTTTTCCGCCACACACAGCATTTTGCTTTTAGGCCAAAAAGTTGAATTTAGGTCTCCTCTGACCAGAGCCCCTTCTTCCATGTTTGCTGTGTCCCCAACCTGGCTTTTCACAACTTGCAAATGGGACTTCTTATGCCTTTCTTCTTG